CGAGGCAGGCCAGTAAGGAGGGAGTTGCAGTAATCAAGTCGTGATATGATGAGGGAGTGGATCAGCTGTTTAGTGGTTTCTGGGGTTAGGAACGTGCGTATTTTGGCGATGTTGCGGAGGTGGAGTCTGCATGAGTTTGTTAAAGATTGGACTTGGGGCTGGAAGGATAGGTTGGAGTCCAGAATGACACCAAGTACTCTGGCCTGCAGGGCGGGTTTGATGGTGGAGTTGTTGGACATGATGGAGAAGTCAATGGGGGGTGGTGTGCGGGCTGGGGGGAAGACAAGAAACTCGGTTTTGGAGAGGTTCAGTTTAAGAAAGTGGAGCGACATCCAGTCTGATATGTCGCTCAGTAGGTGTGTGATTCGGGCGGAGACTGAGGTGGGGGGTTGAGAGATAGATTTGTGTGTCGTCGGCATATAGGTGGTAGTTGAAGCCGTGAGAGTGTATGAGTTGGCCAAGGGAGGAGGTGTAGATGGAGAAGAGAAGGGGCCCAAGGACGGAGCCTTGAGGGACCCCAACAGAGAGGGGGAGTGAGGGGGAGGTAGTAGCATTATAGGTAACGCTGAAAGAGCGTTGTGACAGGTAGGATGAGAGCTAGGAGAGAGCAGAATCTCTGAGGTCGAGGGAGTGCAGTTTTTTTGAGGAGGAGGGGTGGTCGACTGTGTCGAAGGCTGCGGAGAGGTCAAGGAGTAGGAGCACTGAATAGTGGCCATTAGCTTTGGCGGTTAGCAGGTCATTGGAGAGTTTGAGTAAGGCAGTTTCGGTGGAGTGTAGGGGACAGAAGCCGGACTGTAGGGGATCAAGGAGGTTGTTGTCGTTGAGGTGAGAGCTTAGGTGGGTGTAGACTAGGCGCTCGAGGAGTTTGGATGTGATTGGGAGCAGGGAGATGGGTCTGAGGTTGTTCGGGTCATTGGGGTCCAGGGAGGGCTTTTTAAGTATGGGGGTGATGTGTGCATGCTTCAGAGTGGAGGGGAAAGTGCCGGAGGAGAGGGAGAGATTAAAGATGTGGGTGAGGGAGCATAGGATGAAGGGGGAAGGAGGTTGTAGGAGTTGTGAGGGGATAGGGTCGAGGGGGCAGGTGGTGAGGCGGGCATCAGAGAGGACCTTGGAGACTTCCTCGATGGTAGTAAGGTCAAAGGTGCGGAGTGTTGAGGGGGCTTCAATATGAGGAATGTGGGGTGAGGTGGAAGTGGAGGTCAGAGCAGTGGTGGGGTCGTGGGAGAGGGGTGATGACGGGGTAGCTGAGTGAGGGAGAACGGGGTTGGAGGGAGTTTGAGCAGTGATGAAGTCCCTGCGGGTTATGTCGAGGGAGAGGGGGGATGAGGGGGGGTAGCTGTGTGAGAGGGGACGGGTTGAGAGGGAGTGTGAGTTGCGGCAATGTCCTCCAATTCCAATTCGCAAATTGCACCAGTGTTACTAGGCATTTAGGTAATAGTAGAAATGTTTCCTTTCCCCGGATTGTGATTGGACAGTGAGAACGATGCAGCAGTTTTTAGAAGTCCTCTGTCACTCTGCTGTCTCCTCCTGTCAGCATGTTCTTTATAGGCACATGAGCACTGTAGTATTAGGCAGATGTAAACATTTACTGATATTTATATGCAGAATCTTGCTGCTGGCAGAGGCTGGCAGAAAGATCCTGAGTAAAAAAAACACAAGTTATGTTCCTTAAAGACCTCATGTATACTTACGTAAATTTCTTCTTCATCCTATAGTGTTTTAATTTACACATAAACTCTCCTATGTACATGCACATGTATGCATACACACATAAATGACTCCACTCAAACATAACATTTTACATTTGTTTATTTTACAGCTCTGATTGCATTGCTCAGACTAAATGGCACCATTTCCCACAGCTGAGCCATTTTATATGGGCAATGTGTGTTGATATCAGACATACTTTTATTATGGGAGTGCACAAAAAGCATATACATAACCACTGAAAACAATTTAAATATTGTCATTACTATAATCATGGAACTGTTGTAGGTGTGCAGGCAGCAGATGGTCTTTAACTTTTTTGCTCCCCTGCTTATAGCTATTTTCCACACTTTCCCTTTAGACTCAGTTCCTTCAACGGCGACCTGAAAGTTGTGCGACTTATGGTCTGTGCGACTTATTTGCCTGGGTAATCTTCCTGTAATGTCGGATCCAAATCACATCAATATAGATGAGGATCTGACTTGGAGGCGACTTCCATTAAAGTCTATGGGCACAAGTCAGATAGAAGTCGCCTTGAAGTAGTACAGGAACCTTTTCTAAAATCGGAGCGACTTCAGTAGTGCTAATTAGGACAGCTATCACATGACATGCGACTTGAGGTCTCACAAGTCGGATCCCAAGTTGCGGCAGTCTAAACCGAGCCTTATCAGCCACTTTGCACTTGTGTTCATGGCTAACACACAAATATCAGAGTACTGCCAGCAGGCTGGCATGCCGGTGACCTCCCTAAAGCGCGGCGTGCCAAGGTCCTCAGCTTCTGGTGCACTTTCATGATGACAGGGAGGTGGGTGGGTCAGGCTTTGTGACTGACAGCCCAGGGAGCTGTCAATTAAACCAGTGAAGTCACATGCCAGTAGAGAGGGCATATGTCCTGGGGGTTGCCAACCCCTGATCTTTTGAAAACAAGAGGTCAACATTGAGTCTGTTACCTTTTATGCCAAAGAATTATCATTATTACTTTTTTTTCCTTGGTTGGTATTAAAATGTATGTATAACCAAAACATCTCTTTTCAGAATAGAGAAGGGTTAGACTCTTAAAAAGTTAATTGCCCTCCTGCTGGAAAGCTTCACTTCACTACTTGTCTAAGTGACACAACAGAAAGTGATAGGAATTATGCCCAAAGTTAGGGGAATTCCCATTTTAGGGTCACCATACATGCTACAGTTTGACCATACAATCCTCATACAATCAGCTTTAGATATACCAAAATGTAATATGAGGACCTACCTAAATTATCCAGTTAGGCAGGCCCTTCCATTTCACTTCATAGTTTTGGTGCCACCAGAACATTTGTTCGCATTGGAGGAGTTTCCCTCTCCTATTTCCTCTTATTTATGATTTATTTCTGATTTCTGCTTATTTTTTTATCTCCATGCCAATGGTCTCCAGTACAAATAGAGGAGTAATTTCCCTAGGGGGCCATAGACCACAATAAAAACTTGGCAGAGGGTTTAACCCTTCCATACTCAATCCTTTTTCATGTTCTGGGTAGCTACTGGATAGCTACTAGATAACTGAAAGCCCGACTCTGGGAAACTCTAAAATTATCCTATGAGGAAGGCTTTGTGAAGTCGAAACGCATCAGCTTTGTGGATCCTGTATACATGTAACCAATAAAGATATACATTAAGAAGCTTTCTGAGTTGCCGACTACTTGTATTGTGGATATATCCTGTGAGAACTGAACGCCCTAGTAAGTGCATCGGTTTCCAGTCTCTATGCAGGGAAAAGAGCAGTTGAGCATGGGTAAGATCTGTTTCCAGATCTAAAGGGGCGCCGGAAGTGGTAAAATTACAGCTCGGCAGCTTATTTTTTATCACCCATAGCCTCCCCTTTTTACTCCCGATGGTACGTGTAAATGAGCCCAAACTAAGTTGGACAGTTTGCATGGTGAACTAATTGCAAGAACTAGAACTAATTGCAAGATAAAGCTGCAGATATGGATGTAATTGAGTGCCAGTGGCTGTCATTTGTTGTCTGTCAGACCTTTTAGGTAGGTATAGTGCTTGTGCTTTTAAATATGGATAATATGGAAAAATTCACTATTTTACCAAAAGAGTAGTTGATGTTTTTAGTAGACTTCCAGCAGAGGCAGTAAGTCAGTCAACTGTAAGACTAGCCATAAATTAATAATTTTTTTTTCTGGTTGAACAAAAAAAAGACCTGATTTCCCCATCCAGACACTTGATGTGGATGGGGGAATCACCCCCGTTGTGCCATTGTATTCTGACAGAGAACAGATTTTCCCGCTGTTAGAATACATTGATCAGCACTGCTGGCTAAAGCCAGCGACACGGAATGTTCGGGAAAAACTCAACAGGCTGGTTGACATCTATACAATCAGCCTGCTCATACATGGATTGAAATTTCATCCAGTCCTTGCTGAACCAACCGAATATTGATCCATGTATGGCCAGCTTAACCCCTTGACGCTGAGCGTACGCAAATTAGTGGCCTCACAGAACTGGTTTTTCTTCTGGGGGGCCCCTAATTTGCGTACCTGTCTTTCTGTTGGGAGCGCATTAAAAATATATAAATACATACAAATACTTAGATCAAGGTTTAATCTAGGTCAGTGACAGGGTTAGTGTTTGGGTCAAGGTCAGGGTCAAAGGTCAAGGTCAGTTTTGTTTTTTGTTTTTTTGGGTCAGGATTTTTCTTTTTAATGTTTAAATTAGTATCAGTGTCAGTTAGTAGCAGGATTAAAAAAAAAAGTAAAATGCACACTATTGTTTTTGGGCTGTACTGTGGGTACAAACAACAACTAAATACACAGATGTGTATCGCTGCGGTTATTTTTTTGGGTTGTTCGCGGGTAGTGCAAGAAATATACAGCTCGTTAAAAAAAAAATTTTTTTTACTATTTTGGGTCAGTTTTACTTTGGTTATAAAAAAATCAGGAGATACCCATTACTATTTACCACCAAATGAAAGCCCAATTTGTCCTGAAAAAACAAAACGCGGTATAATCCACCTACATGCACAAAGTAGTTGTGATGATATGTACAGTTTTACTAACACATGTCAAAGTTGCAAAAATGTGCTTAGGCGTTAAGATTTGTTTTACCCTTAGGCGTGAAGGGGTTAAGGAATTAAGGAGATCGAAACCTTGGGACAAACAGAGATATATACATAAAAAGTTACAATAAAAAAATAAACAAAAATTGGGGCAGACTTGATGGACCACTTGGTCTTTTTTTCTGCCATCATTATTCTGTTTCTGATTTTTTTAATGTTATCCTTTCTAAAGATTTTTTTTTTCTGTCTCCAGATAATCCACCAACAGAAGATGTTAAAAGGTGAATATGATTTGTGTTGTGTGTTGGAAGGATTGGCTCTCTGTAAATGCACTCCCTATGTATTCTGTCCTCCACCCTTTTCATATTCTACAAGACAGAACAGGAATTGTTCCATTGCCCAGAGGTTTGTGTCAGGTCCCAGTCCTGCCCAGCATAGCCTCTCCCTTCTCTTGTACTTTGTTTATGGCGTGTACCTTGTATGCCTTGTAAATGGTTGTTTTACCATCACTGGGCTGCTCCACACAACCAGGTTTTTTATGTATTCTGAAGTGGACATTTCATGTGTGTTTCATGCATTTTACATTTACTTTTCATACATTTTATATGTCCTTTCTGGGAGGGGGGACTTTCTGCATCATGCATTTTAGATGCATTTCATGTGCAGCAACTTAGATTTAAAAAAAAAAATGCTGTTCATATACTGCTTGCATAACTTTTGGGCCCCATTCACACCTAGCATAACTTGAATATGCGTTTTTGTGCACTTTTGGTGCATCTTTAACACATAGGACAGTCAATTCATTTGAATGGGCTGTTCTATGCACAACAAATATGCCAAAGAAGATGGAAGACCTTTTTAGATGTAGAGCTTCGCACTTTGTTTTTATTGCGCATTTTGTGGCATTGTAACACATGCGTCTCCTGGCCACGTTTGGGGTGCCATTTAGAATTAATGGCTGCTTTGTCATGTTTGTTGCATATAGGACAGCCCTTTGAAAATAATTGGCTATTCTATGTGTGTAGCGCAACAAATTGTGCATATGCATGTCATTTTGTGATTGAGGCCTTACTGTCCCTGGCCCATACCTTTCATTCATTAGATTTCAATTCTTTCAGTCATGGAGGCTCAGCATCACATGTGGGCATAACCGTGTAGTCAAAATGCAAATACAGCCTGCCTAAGATCACCCACTCCTCCAGACTGACATTCACCCATTAAGGCATTTTGGTATCAGCAAAATTCTTCCCAAGAACCAGCCCACTGCTTATATCAAGGCTGAAGGCTCTTTAGAAGGGTACTGAGGCAGGGTACTGTAATGTTTTCAGAAAGTCAGCAAGCCCCTCCAACAGTCATATTCTGCTTGCATTGCATAGAGCAGCACAGAGGTCTAGTGAAAACATCACTGGGGCTAAAAACATAGCATGTTGATCAGGGGGGAAAGGAGAAACCAGAGAAGGCAAAATACAAGCAGAATAAACTTTGGCTTGAAATGATCTCCTGAACAACTATGTATGGCTGAGGACCATTGGATAAAAGTTCTTTATGGTTTCTCCAAAGGAAGGCATTAACTTCAGCATAGTAACATTTTTAAATTTACAAATGGAGCACACTATAAAACAATCCTCTGACAAATAATTGTGACATTAAAAAATGATTACACGACTCAATGTGAACAATCATGTTTGAGAGTTCAGTCACCCTCACCTTGAAACAACCAATTCAGTTTAACGACTTGCCCGCCACCCTATAGTAGAACAACTGCTACAGGGCAGCAGGGCTGCACAAAATTACATATATATATATATATATATATATATATATATATATACATATATATACATGATTTGCATTTCCCGGTAGGGGGCACACGCGCCACCATTGGCAGCTACCAGGGGCAGACTGATCATTCAAGCACTCGGGCACTGTCCGAGGGCCCGGGGTCAGTAGGGGGCCCCTTGAGATGCCCCTGGTACCTTTCATTGGCTTTTTCATAGGCTTTTTTGGGTGTGGACGAGTACACAGGGGCCCCTTGATCCCCTATTGCCCGGGGGCCCCATGAGTTGTCAGTCCGCCCCTGGCAGCTACAGATGTTAATCACCGAGTCCCAGCCGGAGATTGCCCACCAAACTGATGGGAGAGACCTGGGTGTGAACAACACAGGTCTCTCTCCTGTCAGCAAGGACATACTGCTGTGTATCTCTCTGCACAGTAGGGAAATACACAGCAGCATGTTTCTCTAGTAAAATACACACAGCACACACAGTAAAACAGCACACAGTTGACCCTTTGATAGTCCCAGATGTTACCCACTTCCTGCCCAGTGTCATTAGTACAGTGTCAGTGCTTTTTATTAGCACTGATCACTGTATTAGTGTCAGTGGGCATGTCAGTTGCAGTTAGTCAGTCCCCCCCAGTGTCAGAATTCCCACGGCAGTCCGGCAGTCCCACTATAAGTCGCTGATCACCGCCAATACTAGTATAAAAAATAAATAAAAATCCCATTATCTATACCGCCATTTGTAGACATTATAACTTTCACGCAAACCAATTAATTTACACGTATTGGGATTTTTTTAGCAACGATATGGAGCAGAATACATTTTGGCCTAAATTTATGAAAATATTTAATTTTTTACATTTTTTTTTCCTGAATATGTTTTATAGCAAAAAGTAAAAAATATTGTGTTTTTTTCAAAATTGTCAAAATTTTTTTGTTTATAGCGCAAACAATTAAAATATTATAGGTGCTCAAATACCACTGAAAGAAAGCTCTATTTGTGGGGAAAAAAGGAAGTAAATGTAATTTATGTACAGTATTGTATGACCGTGCAATTGTCAGTTAAAGTAACGTAGCGCCGTATCACAAAAAATGGCCTGGTCAGGAAGGGGGGTAAATCCTCTGGAGGGCAATTGGTTAAAATAGAAATGAAAGGAAAAACATTTGTGTATACATATAAAAAAAGCATTACAAATACTTTTTTTAATTTACAAGTGATCACATAATTTCTATTCCCTGCTACACAAGAGGCTTTGAGAGGTGAGGGTGGAGAACCAGCAGTACACCAATCTTCCCAGTGAATGGCTGTGTGGGGGGTGAATGTCAGTACAAGTCTGATCATTGGAGGACAGGCAGGCTGTTTTCTCAGCACAGCTCGAAAACTGACCATGCTGGGATGGATGTGCTGTCATGCCTAGTGTGCTCAGTTTGAAATAGGAAATAAGGGGGACTGGCAGGATTGCCAGAAATTTCACACAAAGGAAGCAATACAAAGAGGACACAATATTTTTTAACACAAGTACATGATACAACCGACACATATCAGGTATTTGAAATGTTGGCGTAACATACTGTATTCTTTAAGTAGTTGGTTGTCATCAGTTTGTATACTGTAGATTGTTACCCTTTTCTTAATTACAGGAAGATGCATAGACTAAAAAATACTTCCAATGAAAGAAATACCGAAGTTACTACTGCTGACATCCTTCTGGAAATGCTAGTTGCCTGGCTGTCTCTGGCCTCACTATTTTCTACATCACTGATAAGGACCCATTACAAAGCTAGTAAAGTCAGAATTCTTAATCTGCATATTCCTTCTTGGTCACTGATTCATAACTGATTGAAGCCATAATAGACAACTGCCATTTTCATAAGGAGAGCAGCCTACATATTTCTGAATCGCCTGTGCAAGGTTCTACATGGCAGGACAATGTATTCTTTTAATGAAAGCTTCAGATTTGAAAAAAACATAAACTTTTAAAATTAAATTAACCTGTCAAGTCTAAAATGAGATTTTAGTGATTGCACTTACAGTAGGTACACTACGGGGCTATGTAAAAAAAAAGGTTTGCTGATCAATTGTGACAAACGACCGCATAGCTCCAGTAAAATTTGCCATATTCAGTATAATTATCTCCTATGATTGTAAGCACCATTTGTGACCATAATGTGGTAATTTTTAAAATGCCTCAATCAACAAAAAAAAATATTATGGCCACTAGATGGTGCTTAAGATCTTAGGAGATAATTATATGAGAGAGAATATGGCAAGTTTTGATAAAGCTGTGTGGATGTTTGTCACATTCGTTCTGCCTACTTTTTATGGATAGACAGCTAAGTGTATATAAATCCAAAAACAAAAATATATTGCATGAAATAGTAAATAAAGTCAGTGCTAACCACATCAAATGACCAGCTGCGTGCAGTAAGTGTAGTTACACAGTATACAACTAATATATGTAAATGTGATGATATAATTACATGCAATAGTATAATTGAGTGTCCACAAATGACTGATGATTGATGATCGTTAATTACACGTCAGTGTCCCAACCTCTTATGTGAATAGTTCACAAAATGTGTAAAGTGATAAAAACATAGAAAGTCCAATATTATTAACTTCCAGCTTTCACCAAGCGATTAGAGAAGCACCATCCATGTCAAACCTCCATCGTACAGTAAAATTACAAACTATCCGCAGTTTGTTGTCTAAAGTATTTATGTAAAAAGTATGTTGTCTAACATTAGGACAGCAATGAGTGTTTTTTAGTATGGTTCCTACATGGCTTTAGTCTCCCCAGTTGATGGACTGAGGTTAATGCACTCTGCCAAGGATCAGTGCCATTGCTTGCATCCACACAGAGTCATCCACCATAATAATTGCTCATAGAGTAGTAATTTGATTTAGGACCCACAGTATGAACAATAAAAATATCCACCATTAAAAACTCATTAACACATGCCACTTTGCAAACTTACGTAAGGGGCCGAGAGACTTGCAGGGGATGGTGGCACAACCTCAGGCTCCTATAGCACTGCTCAACACCATTTTGCATGACCGTGTGTCTTCAGGAGCTTCTCAAGGGCTTGAGGTCATGTCACCATTCACTGCAGGTCTGGTGGCCCCTTATGTAGATAGCACTACCCATTCTGTTTCTGATACTTTCTAGTCTTCCTCTTTATTAAAGCAGAGTTCGGGCCCCTGACACCTCCCCCAAACAAAGTTAACAAATACTGTGGCTGCTGACTTTTAATAGTATGGCCAGGGGCGGACTGACCATTTGGAAACTCGTGCACTGCCCGGGGTCAGTAGGGGGCCCCAAGAGATGCCCCTGGTACCTTTTTCATAGGCTTTTTTGAGTTTGGACAAGGACACAGAGGCCTCATGATCCCCTATTGCCCGGGGGCCCCATGAGTTGTCAGTCTGCCCATGAGTATGGCACTTACCTGTCCATGCATCCAGCAGTGTCCTCACCCCAAGCTCATTCTTCAGTTGGCTGTCGGGTGGAGGCGCCGCCATCATGACTAAGGGAAACTGGCAGTGAAGCCTTGCAGTTTGACCGCCAGTTTCCTACTGTGCATGTGCGAAGTGCGCTGAGCTTTGTGAATCGGCTGAAGTCTTCTGGGACCTTGGAAATGTCCCAGAGGGCTGCGGGACCGCAGCGAACTGAAGTGGGAAAAACCAGGTATCTGCTGCCCCCACCCTCCAAAAAGATGCCAAATGTGGAAGTAGAGGGGGTGGGGGGGAGGCAGAAAAGTGGTGCTTCAACTTTTGGGTGGAACTCCACTTTAATTCTGGCCATTTTTTCTTTTTTCCATCTTGACCTTTGACTTTCCTTCTTTCTCTCTGCTGTTACGTGTCTTCATCTTGTTCCCCTTCCATTACACATACTCACTTCCTACACCAGGGGTCTCTGCAACCTCCCTGTATACATGTCCAATGGCCACCTTGGCATTCAGCGTTGCTACAATAACATTGGGCGGACTGCCAGTGTGAGTTGCTTTCACTGCACAGGCACGCAGACACGCACAGCATTGGAGACCAGACTGCCCACCTCCACAATGCCTAGCAACAGGTACACACAACTCTCTGGGATCGTAAGGCCTGCTTTTTTTCACCTATGGCTGTCGTACGCGTGCGCAACAGAGACGTACGCAGTCCGCCATTTTGTTAAAAATCTCCATTTTCTCCCTTCACTCTCCTTCCCCCCTCCCTCCTCACTCTGAGAGTCACAGTGACAGTGTATGTGTGTGTTAAAAAATGTCACAGGAGGGTCATAGGAGCTATAAAGGCCACCCGCCAGGGAGCCTGGGTCTAGCTGTCTGAGAATCTGTGACATTTCACACCTCGGAAGAAATAAGGCAAGCTTTCTCAGGAGTTGAGAGAGATTCCAACCTAATAAAACCTACTCAGCATAGGTGACAGAATCAGATAACACGTCTCAAAATCCATGTTTCCCCTATGTCTCATATCTTGGAATATGAGAGACTTACATAAAAACCGGACATATCGTCAGATGGACGATGAGCAGGCGAACAGTTTGATGGGTCACTCACCTTGTCTCGGACACACAGGAAAGCAGAAAAATAGATCTCGCAAACCCTTCAGTGTACACTTCCATAATTCATATCTAACCAATCCTCAGACTTGTCTGCATAATAATCTACCCGCGGGTGGGATGTCACTGGTGCAGATGGAAAGTTATAGGCCAAAATATGAGTTACAGGAGATTTTTGCTCTTGTTGAGGCATCCACCCATAACTCCACACCCTAAGCGGAGATTGGTCCATGACATCAGAGCCACCCCCTGCTGGGGACTACAAAACAGGCTGTCAGGCCTAAGAGTGAACGTTGAAGAATTCTCCCATTGACCATCGTAACATAGGGAGATCAAAGCACCCTTCTGCTCTGAAACTTGGATCTGCTAACCCAGGACTTTGGCAAGTAATTTAACCCTTTCACCTCTCTCTGATATCTCTTTGCTGTGCTGTGGTTCTTTGTATATGTATATATATATCTTAGGTACGTCTTTTTCTGTAAATATTTTTGTTGCACCCGTTTGACCTTTTAGTAATAAATCTTTCCTTCTGAAAGTGTTGAACTGTTTCTATAGCGCTTTATTGCAATTTACGAATTCCTGCCTCTAAAGAGAATGCTACTGTGTTTGTTTAAACCTCTGTATAACCGGCCTGCGGACTGTTTTATACAGACGATTATCTCAATCATTATAGTGTTATAGCTGATATTGCCATGTTTCCTCTTTCTCTGTACAAAAAGGAGGTGGTGGCAGTGTGAAGGGTTAATTGCCTAATTAACCTGACCCAGTAACAGTCGCTCAGGCTGCCGGTACATTGATCTGTGGTCCATTAGCTGGAAAATCGTTGTGCAGGGTGCAGCTGGGTGTGGCATTGTTACGCACATCACATCGCGGTTCTAGATCGGCTAGTCCTTCGGTGACGAGTTTGGTGAGAAGGTCTGGGGTCTGACACCGCAATCGTGACAATGGCAAATCTTTAATTATTAATACCACTGTAAATTTTACTTTACTTTAAGTGATCCTGGTTTTCTACATTTAAATTTTGCCCAAACAGTGGTTCTGATCGCTATTTTGTTAGTGTGTTGGTTTTTGCCATTTTTGTGTTTGACGGTTATTTTAAACTTGTTAAACTGGTGGGCTTATGATGTCATTATGATGCCAGGGGGCTGGGCTGGGCCTTGATTGTCTTCACTGATTGGTTGATTGTCTGTTAAATGTGTCTTGGTTTGCACTGCACTTTGTTAATTGCCTGATGAAGGGGCCCTACGTGACTCGTTGCCACTATATATATATTATGTGACCACTAAATAAAGCTTTGGACCCTTCTGAGGATTCCTTGGTGACATTCTTCTTCTTAGTCCTGGGCCAGGGTGTGACAAATTCAGGCCTGGGCTGAGAGGCCACTGAAGCAAACTCAGCTCTGGGTGAAGATCCAGCAATGTCTGTGGTATGTGAGCTCTCTGATGGCCCTGTCAAAGACTCATAGTCCTCAGTAGAGTTCCCCCAATCTCTCTCTTCCTCCTAATCTTTGGGGGACCAGGTTTCCTGCCCTTCCTCCACCTGTAAACATTATCAACAGAGCACAGGCCTCAGCCACGGATGTGTGGCCAGGCGTTTGTAGTCCACTCGGGTGCCGCAACCATCCCTGGTTGGTACAGACAACGATGAGTGGTGTAGAAACAGAGCACACTTTACTGTAACATGCAGGTATTTGCATAGCATAGTCTTTTGTAAAAGTCACCTATGGAGCAGCAAAGGGATGTCTGGTAGCCTGCTTCCTATTCTAGGGTGATAACACTCAATCAATGTATTTTATCTATGATGGAGCAGTTTTCTTGGACTAGGACAGAAGTGTTAGGACTTCAGAACATCTCCTCCTCCCCTCATCTGTACTACATACAGGGGAGGCTTTTTGTAGATCACAAAATACACTGTAAGTGGGAAAGTTGATAACATTGTTTGAAATAACAGTTCATTGCACAGGAAGTTCCACACACATTGGAATATAGGCAAGATCAAAAGGCATTTTCTCTACTTGCTGAAAATTTTGTTTGCCTAAGAAAGAAACCTAATGCAGATACCACCTATAAGGATTGGCAAGCCACAATATATAATTCATTTTTGTACTTGCATTCATTTATACTGTATTTTAATAAGTAGAAACAATCTGACTAACTAAAATTGGGACACAAAACATAGATGTAATAGTAATGATCCAAGCTGGAACTGTCTGTCCAACTCCCCAAATCCTTTCTTTGTGAGTGAAAAATAAGTCAGAATTATGATCCATAGCCTGTGTGGTGCTCATGTGATATGCACTAAGTAATAGCTACATCCCTTTACATGTCACTTTATATGTCATTACAATACCACATGGATTTTTTAGATTCATGAAACCGCCAAAAAGTAGTATATTTATATATCTTCACATATATAACTAAAACTTCTCCTCACGTAGTTCCTTGTATGAGCATCTACATTTGATAAGAAATAAAACTAAATTATTTCAAGACCTGTGTGGATTTCTATGAATTATTCAGAATCAACACATTTTCTATTTATTTTCATGTCCCAGCCCTATCTTTGAAGAAGATACCCCATCAGTAATGGAAATCGAGATGGAAGATCTTGACAAATGGATGAGCAACATAAAGAAAAATAGTATGTCTTACATTTCAACTACTTTCCATGTGCTCTCAGAGTGCTTTATTTTTCTCACTCTCTGAATTGATTCCTATGGATACATTTTTTTCATGTTTGGCTCATAAGAATGTGCTTTTATACTGTTTATCTCTCCAGAGGCCTGTAATTCTGCTTTGTCAGATAATAGGATAGCATGGTGTGCTGCAGATAGTTTGCTTTATGACAAGTTATTGCTCATAGAACTTTAGCACTTAGTAGCTCCTGGTGATTCGTAACCTTAATCTCTCAGAAAAAAAATAAAACAAAACATATTTCCAATACATCTATTTAGTAAATGAATGTTCATACACTTTACTATCATGTCAGGGGTAATTAAAGTACATCTGTCATCTGCCACCAACAAATGCCTCACTATCTGTATAAACTCTACAGGTGCATCTGTGCCATCTGCACAGAACTATGACACAGTTTATCACATTTGTGCTACACTGCATGCAAACTATAGCTAAGTATTTCTTTTTATATGAAAATTTCTACATGAAATTCTATCAAATAGACCAGGAGTTCCCACCCCTTCAGCTTATCAACTGCTTCATGAAGTTTCAGATTGTTCATAAACTCCCAAACATTTATTATATAAAAAATTAATAAATACTAATTTAGTTAAAAGAAGTACAGATAATCATAATAATGTCCTCCCTTCCTCTAAATATCCATTATGGTTTGGCAAAATGCCGAATTTTTAGTAAATGTGAAACAATAAGTTCTTTGAGGCTACTCCTGTCACTTAGGGGGGAGGGGGTTTACAAAAACCGGAGCACTCAGAATCTGGTGCAACTGTGCATGGTAGCCAATCAGCTGCTAACTTCCGCTTGTTCAATTAAGGTTTGACAATAAAACCTGGAAGTTGATTGGTTTCTATGCAGAGCTGCACTGGATTTTTCATGCTCCAGTTTTATTAAATCCCCCCTATGGCTCTCCAACAGAGTCTGTGGTGGGTGTACTCAGTGGCTCTCCAACAGAGTATGAGGTTAGTGTACTCACTGAATGTCCAACAGAGTTTGGTAAGGGGGGGGTATACTCACTGGCTCTCCAATAGAGTAGAAGGTGGGGTGTACTTACTGGCTCTCCAACAGAGTTTGGGGTGAGTGTACTCACTGGCTGTCCAACAGAGTTTGAGGTGTTGGTACCCATTTGTTTTCCAATAGCGTTTGTGCTGGGTGTACTACTTGCATCTCCAACAGAGTTAGAGGGGGTATACTTACAGGCTCTACAAGGGGTTTGAGGTGGATGTGCTCCCTGGCTCTCCAACAGAGATTATTAGAACAGGTACTTATATAGCACTGTCAATTTATGCAGGGTTTTGCATATATAATGTACATTCACAGCCCCTGCCCTCCAGGAGCTTACAATCTAAGGTCCCTACCTCACATTCATACATACACATCCTAGGGCCAATTTGGATGGGAGACAATTAACCTACCAGCATGTCTTTGGAGTGTGGGAGGAAACCGGAGTACCCGGGGAAACCCACACAGGCACAGGGAGAACATGCAAACTCCAGACAGGTGGTGTCATGGTTGGGATTTAAATTGATGACCTAAGTGCTGCCAGGCAGAAGTACTAACCACTTATCCACTGTGATGGGTGTACTCACTGGCTCTCCAACAGAGTTTGAGATGAGTGTACTCACTGGCTCTCTGGCAAAGTTTGTTGGAGAGCTTGTGAGTATGCCCACCTCAGAGTTTGGCGGGGACTACTCACTGGTTCTCTTACACATATGTGTATCTTTCTCAGAAGGGCAACAGTGAAAAACACACAACACAAAGCAGCTGGTAAATAAGTCCAGTAATAACACACAGCTAATAGAGACAACTTATAGCAGCTCTCACTGACAGTTGGCCATGTATCCCTAGATAACGCTGTCTCACAACTAGTCACTTCACATTTATGAATAGGGACTTGCATGGTGCTTTACAGAGACCTTATTAACTGACCCCAGTTACCTTCCATCATTTGTCAACCACCTTTTAACCATCAGGCATTTAGTTCATGTTTGCCAGTTAATTCTACTATGATCCATCCTCCTAAACAGTAGGCGCACTTTTATACAAAGTACTATATTCCCCTTCCACCCTACGCATCATACAAGAGGTTCATGCACTGAACTCAGGCAAATCCAACTTTTTGCTACCTGTTTAAAGTTGGGTGGTGTGTATAACTTTTAGTGTAGTCTGAAAGCACTGTACATGGAAAAGAATGGCCATTCTGGAAATGTGCCAAGCAAGACACAGAGGTGGCCGTTGTTCGTTATGACTGATCTGGTAAATGATTTGATGTGGTGTATGTGCAGCAAAATCAGAGGACATTGGAGCACCATGGGATACAATTCTGCTGTAGGAAAGTGACATGTTAAATTAATCTGCACCAGAGGTCTGCATTTTTGTTCCAAAATCTGATGGGCAGGGCATTGGGAGAGGTTTGGTAAAGGGTTTTGTATGAATATAACATATCTGACTTATCTTGACTTCATACAGTTCCTTCCACCCCCCTCCCATCTCAAATTTGCATTTTAAAGCATTTCTGCTAAGTATGAGTATAGAAATGTTCTCTGAAATGCCAGTATGAGCTTTCATAGTACTGCAGAGACCTTTGTGATTAGAATGTTCAGCAAAACTACTAGTGCCTAACAAAAAGTCTGAAAAACTGTAGAAAATGACTGAGTATGTATAGCGGGAAAGCAGAAGCAGGATGTCAAAGTTTTGCTGCTTGCTCCTCTGGACTGGTCCCACCTTTTTAATGTATCAAACAATGAAAAATTAGATGCAACTCTTATTAGCTCATCATACATTTTAGTTTGTTTCATTCAAAAAATTTGAATATGAGCAATCTTTATGCACAGAGCATGCTTTGCATATTTCTAATGCTCTGTATACGGGTGTTCACTTTTTTTTTTTAATTTAATTACAGACAATCGCTTGTCCACACTAGAAGAGGAAAATAAGTTTAGCACAAGGTAAGATGCATTTACAATTGGCTACCACTAGATGGCTATGTCTCTATCATGGTACCATGCTTGAATTCACTGATCTCCTGAGAGCGGCCCATTCTTTCACAAATGTTTGTAGAAGAAATCTGCATGCCTAGGTGCTTGATTTTATACACCTGTGGCCATGGAGGTGATTGGAACACCTGAATACAATGATTTGGAGAGGTGTCCCAATATTTTTGGCAATACTGTATTATTGAAGGTTATGGCACATTAGGATCCCAGTAGATGTGAATGCATATCTGAAAGCTCAGAATGGCTGTCAGATATCACATAGATGGCCCACAGCCAATCACTCTTTAGCAGTGTCTCTTCTCTGAGCTTTTGTCCTTTTTGCCTACACTTTTATTTATAGTTTACATGATAGGGTTCTTGACTTTATAGGGACTGAATCAGTAAGGTATTACGTTTCCACTGGGAAAAAACTAGGATCCTAGCCTGAACCCACCTGAGTAGACTAGAAGCTTAAAGCGGTAATAAACCCCAAAATAATTATATTACATTAATAAACCCAAACACAATTGTATTACATTGCAGCTTGCCAGTCATTGGATGTGGCAGCTGCATTAGTTTTCTTTTTTGGACTTTTTTTTCACCTCTGTTTTTACCTGGGGATCCGACCAGTAACACAATTCCTGTATTAGTGAGACACCACTTTGGATGAATGAGCACAAGAGGCACAGCAGACAGCAGCATTGTCAGTCAGGGGGAGAGAAGTGTTAAATGTGCTAGCAAATCTAAATACACTAACAAATTGAAGCTCCAGTTCATACTCTATAATCAGTTACAGCAAACAATTTTTTTCCTTTTGGGATAAAGGTTTTCTATTATTAAATAAATGCTGATCATTTTGAACACCCCTGAGAGTGTTAAATAGTTTGTCTTATCCATGTAATCTGATACATTCTGTTGGAGAGCTTGTGTTTTTGAAAAGCAGGAGACTTGCTGGTTGGACCACTAGATGAAAATAAAAGAAAGAGAGCCTGAAAAAATAATATGAATAGAGCCATCACATATAAGAATTGGCAAGCTGCAAAATAATAAATGTTAGCTTTTGGGCTTAATACTGCTTTAACTCACCCATCCTTGCCACATTATATTTAATTCTTTCTATATAATCTTTATTTATTAGACAACAGTGGATAAAAAAAAAACATTTTAATCAAATACGATGGTTCAGTTTCTCTTTGTCAAACAAAGCTTCATTACATATTAAACATATCTACATGTTATTTCTTTTCCCACCAAAGACATTTAATTTTTAACAGATTAAATTATAAATAAAAATAAAATTACTTTAATAATTACAGTTAATTAACAAAACACTAAAACAAGTCATGAGATAAGAAAATATCAGTAGATTTGGTACCTAGGTCAGAACAAAGTTACAGATTTTTCAAACTGTGGCTACCTTTACTTTTAAAGTGGAGCTCCACCCAAAAGAGGAAGTTCTGCTTTAAGGCCTTGTCCTCTGCTCCCCGTTAAGGATTGGCACCTTTGGGGAATGGCTACCTGATTTTGACAGGTACCGGCTCCCACATCCGCTGCGACCGTCTAAGCGATCGCAAGAGAAAATTCTCCCCCCCACCCCTGCAGTCCTCTGGGACACATGAAAAGTCCCAGAGGGCTGTGGGATCATACACAAAGCGCAGCTCCGCTCACCCATGCGCAGCGGACACCCAAGACCATTCACAATGCGCAGCTCTGCTCACCCATGTGCAGTGGGCACCTAGGACCATTCAAATGCACAGCTCCGCTCGCCCATGCGCAGTGGGCACCCAGGACCATTCACAATGCGCAGCTCTGCTCACCCATGCGCAGTGGGCACCTAGGACCATTCACAATGCGCAGCTCCGCTCGCCATGCGCAGTGGGCACCCAGGACCATTCACAATGCGCAGCTCCGCTCGCCCATGAGCAGTGGGCACCTAGGACCATTCACAATGCGCAGCTCCGCTCGCCCATGCGCAGCGGGCACCCAGGACCATTCACAATGCGCAGCTCCGCTCGCCCATGCGCAGCGGGCACCCAGGACCATTCACAATGCGCAGCTCTGCTCGTCCATGCACAGTGGGCACCGCTCGCCCATGCGCAGTGGGCACCCAGGACCATTCACAATGCGCAGCTCTGCTTGCACATGCACAGTGGGCACCCGGCTATGAAGCTGCAAACTGTCACAGCCGGGTGCCCACACTCAAGATGCCATTGCCAAGGACACAGGATGGCCGGTGGCCCCAGCTGTTCTGAGAACACCTCTAGACCCTAGGACAAGTGAGTGTCTGTTTTTTAAAAGTCAGCAGCTGCGGTTTTTGTAGCTGTTGACTTTTTTTTTTTTTTTTAAAGAAGACTGGACAAGCGTTTTAATTTTCCCAAGTCTAACTGTTCAAGACATTTCTAGGTAATTGCAGTAAAATAACTATAATGGGAAGGATGTGTAAAAGAGAGAGATGACAAGACATTTTGTGTCTTTGGCAACATGAAACGATATCACTTTTATTTTGCGGTCTGTACATTAATTAGTAATTCTGCATATAAAGCAGACAACATCCTGCCTCAGATAGTCCAATATCACATTCTTGTTTTTGTTTTTGCACAAATAATCAAATGGCAAAATGGATGGGACTTGCACAAAGTGAGAAATCACTTGTGTGTTCCTAATGTAGCAAATTGTGTAAGTACAGCTATGGTTTATAAATTAAAATAGAAAAATGAAAGGAAGTCTAGTGGAGTGCAAACTGCAGAACAGGGCATTCATTGAGTACCATAGCAGAATATATTTTCAGTTTTAATTTAAAGGGGCACCTTGCTATTTAGCTGGCATGTCTTAGTACCTTTACATGTAACGGCTAGGACCATGATGCACACATACACCCAATCCATATTTAAAAATACTTTTTCTATGCAATGCTAAAGCAATGTACAAAAACCAAAAATTGGTAGTTACCGATGCTGTCTAGAAGTACCATACAAATCTTAGCATTATATTTTTATTATTTGAAACTTAAATATTGTTCTTTAAAAATATTAATTTTAGTACAGGTCAAGGAATAAGATCTTTGCATTGTTTGTGTGTTGGCATTTTGGTGAAATAAATTATACTTTATCTCTCTGCTGCCAATCTAGAGACCTTCAAAGTGCAGTTCATGGCACCTGTGCTCCCCTGTGTGCTGCTTTGTGATGACCTGGCTATCATTGAAATCCCCATAGACATTTGTAGAGTTGACGTGTAATTATCTGCCTGCTCAGGGCAGTAGACGGGGGAGCACAGCTGACAGGGAACTGCTTTGTAGATGGAAATCTCTGGAAAGGGGAAAAGGGGGTAAGTATCATTTACTACACTATACCTCCAACATCCTTTCTTCCTGGACCTGTTCTTAAACAAGATGATATATGGCAATAGGAATGACTGAACGTTGTTTTTTTCCAACATTAATGAAAATACATGGAAAAATAAATAAGCATTTTTAAGCTTTGCTGATGGTAGAAGAATAGCTAGGCCAGCCAATCGGAAGGCTAGGAATATCACGGATAACTTGGAAGAAATTCCTTGTGCGTGTGAGTGATTCTCATTAACTTGTTGCAACGGATGTTTTCATTGACGCAAAGATGTCCCTTTAGTAAACATTTGTGTGCATACATGTTTTTCTTACAATAAAATGATGATTCACACAAGCAGTATTTTAAAATGGAATTTTAGTCAGAAAATTAAGTCCTGATAGATCTCTTCATGCTGGCCCCTTGTGCAGGTATAGCTACAGTATGAAATACATTAAAAATAAGTACCTATACAGTTTAAAAACCAGTAATACCTGGCTCTCAACATGATCAGTTGCTTTCTATTTTAGGGCACTGTACCTAATTTGTAGAGGCCAATCTGCTGACAGCCTAAAGGTTTACTGCTGCTCGGGGCTCTGGGCTTCAGCAAAATGGCTGCCTCCGGCAAGAAGAAACCGGAACAATGCTGGTAGCAATTTACAACACACACTAATTTTGGTAGCCTAATTATAAATGCATAATGTATGTTCCTTGCTAAAGAACATTATTTTTTATCTTTTAAGTTGTTATGGGCAAAGTTCCACTTTAGGCTTTTACAAAGCTCAAAAAAAAATGCAGGGAAGCAGCACAATGTCATTTCAGAACAGTTTTGTCTTTCCATACCTCTATGGAGAGATTTCTATCACCCCGCACCTTCCATGGAGTAAAGTAATCCTATCTATTTTAAAGTTACAATACATCTGCCAAAAACAATGTGAAACAGTGAGTCTCAATGTTTCTATTTGAACCATATCTGCCTCTTGCCTCCAGTCTACTTCATCACAAGTGAAAATGGCAAACCAGTGATATGCTGGGCTGGTACAGTAATAGACTGAGTACGTCTACTGGTTCATTACCTTTATCACAGAGGGTTAACTGATTTGCCATAGGATCCTGATAGTTGCTTTTTAGCATATCTTTCTTTTGGTTCATGCTTGTTCTTTTTCTGCTTCCCTAGAGTAATTTGTACAATTAGTCATGTATATATACTTCATGCTGATCTATATGGAACTGAAAAAATATCTGCCCATTCTTGCACACAGCTATATTCTGCCCACTTCTAAATTATTTAACATTTACTGACACTTGGTGTGTGTACATTATTAGTTTATTTGTTCTCATTCACAATATATATACAGTTGTGCTCAAAAGTTTGCATATCCGGGCAGAAGTCGTGAAATTTTGGCATTTATATTATTAATATGACTGATCATGCCAAAAAACTGTATTTTATTTAAGGATAGGGATCATATGAAGCCATTTATTATCACATAGTTGTTTGGCTTTTTTAAAATCATAAGGATAACAGAAATCACCCAAATGGCCGTGATCAAAAGTTTACATTCCCTGGAATGTTTGGCCTTGGTACAGAAACACAAGGTGTCACACATGGGTTAAAATGGCAATTAAAGGTTCATTTCCCAAATCTGTA